GTAGCCAGCTATCTCTCCAGTGCTCAGATGACGTGTGAAACGTCTGCAGAGGTCAGGTCAGTTGTGTGTGTGTGTGCGGGGGGCAGGAACAAGAACTTTAAAAACACAGTCTGGTACGGTGTGGTTAATATTTTTGTGCATGTGTCTGTGTGATGCATGCTTGTGTGAGGCAACATTAAGTCATTGTACTTACTTGGAACCAAATTCGTTTAAAAACCCAGAATCGATAGTAGGTGGCACCTTCAATTGCATGATGCGCACGTAAAACATATTTTATATACTAAACATTTGGCACTAGCAGGTCAAAATTTCAGCCAGGTGGAGCATGCAGCACAGATAGACCCGTTGAACATGTTTCCTGTGTGTACATATTATCACATCCCCACATATTTCTGCTACGTATATGATACAGGAGCATTGAAAATATTTTCCACTTAAAGAGAGACAAATTTGTCCCACTAAGTATGCTCTGATTATCACGTTTGATTGGGTCCCTGTCCATAATCAGTTAATTATTATTATAGGCGAATTTAAAGTATGCACTAATTGGGTGAAATTCTGGTCTGCAGGTGGTGGTAATGGAAGAAGAACTATTTCTATGATATGTGCAGGAGGTGGCTGTGAAAAATCGGTGCCAATTAGAACATTCAATCAACGCTCCACAGAGGGAAGATAAATAGAAACAACCGTGCGAGCAGTGAAAAAATTTGAGTTACGTAATAAATGCTGGAATTGCGCACAGCAGGCAGTGACGGGAGGGCAGGTGTTAGGAGCTCCACGGCATCTAGGATGGGCTCTTGCACCACATTCCACTACACACACTTATCCCAACACAAAACTACACATACGTACAAACACACGATGAGAATTTCTCAAAACGAGATCAGGAGGGTCAGCTATATATGAAACAGGCACTCCTGCCGAAAAAATCCAGCTGTGTATGTGTACTCGAATTGGACAGTGGAAGCTGGTGGTAATTGGGATGTAATGGGTCGACCATGAATTAGCACCACAGCTATTACAAGTGGCAACTACTCAAATCAATTTTTGGTGGCTATATACAGCAGAACAAAGGGACCGGGCGCGTGGAGGTGATAGAACATATGGTTGACTGTAGTTTATCACTAATAGTAACCACTAAGCTGTTACACTGGTGACGTATGCTTCGTGAGTTGTATGTGGTGTGATGTAATTACAGTAGTATGCCTGTGCACGTGTTTTTGGTACATTACACAGATGAAGAGGGAGGAGGAGAGGGAAGGAGAAGGGAAGAGGGAGGGAGGGAGAGGAGGGGGAAGCTAGGGAGAGGAAGGGAGGAGAGGGAGCGGGAGAGAGGGAGGGAGGCGAGGGAGGGAGGGAGCTGGGAGAGAAGGGAGAGGAGGGAGAGGAGGGAGCTGAGAGAAGAAGGGAAGGAGGGAGAGAGGGAGGGAGGGAGGGGGAGGGAGCTGGGAGAGGGAGGGAGGGAGGGAGGGAGGGAGGGAGAGGAGGGAAGAAAAGGGAGGGAGGGAGCTGGGAGAGAAGGGAGGAAGGGAGGGAGGGAAGGAGGGAGGGGAGGAGGAAGAAAAGGGAGGGAGGGAAGGAAAGAAAAGTGCAAAGCAGTGAGGGAGGGAGGGAGCTGGGAGAGAAGGGAGGGAGTGAGAGGTGGAGGGAGGGAGGGAGGGAAGGTGGGAGAGAGGTAAGAAAAGAGGGAGGGAGAAAGGAGCAGGGTGGGAGGAAGTGAGAAGTGGGAAGGATGAAGGAAAGAGAAGGAGAGGGGAAGGGAACCTATGTACCATGAAGAGGTAGACATTGGAAGACACAGAGACAGTGAACGGTTGCTGCAGCCCAAGAACTTCGAATGCCGTGCAATCAATGAAGGAGTCTGCAGGCGCTTGTTGGCTGTAGAACATACAGTTACAACTCCACAACATGTAACCAGCAAGCCAAAAATGGCATATATCTGGTCCATTTGGTATTAAAAAACACCAAAGTTTATGCAGCTACTGCAATATGAGATATTGCTTGTCTAGAACTTACATTGGACGATGACGAATTGATATCTCCATCTTAAAATAGTTATATAAGCTGGAAGCACTGGCACCGATAGCTTTCTTACCAGATTTTAGTGACCGCATCAGACGTTTACATAGATGGGCATGGTATAGATACATGGGACTATGACAGAGCATTTGTTACTGTGCTATAGGCTAAAGGTAAAATATAACTAATATAACTGGTAACAGGCACAAAAAGGCTACTCAGCTAAGGCTGAACTAAAACAGAAACTAGAGCTTACAAAACGACCACGGACGGTCTAACTATAGAGATCAAGGCTTTTGTAAGCCTCTACAAGAGAATACACCAAAGCAGCAGTCGAAATGTTGATACAGTTCAGGCTCTTATTCGGTTTCTCAGTCAAGAGGTGGCCATTTGCATCAGAGTAATACAGAGCAAGAGCGACAGATATTGGATTTCACAGCGAGAGGGGTCAAAGGTCTTCATGTGTGTACCTACGTATGTATACGTGAATTGGGTGCAGCACAGCCGGGGTCTATAGAGCTGATACGGTCCAGAGTGGATTCAACTTATGTCATACCACGTCATCTCCAGAACTCATAACACACTGCGATTGATGTATGCTGATGCTTGGGTACGACACCATGACATTTAAAACCCCCAAGAGCATAGTTAATCGTGCTTCCCCCGTGCTTAATGCCCTGTAGAACGAATGCCGTGCATTTTGGAGAGTGAGTGAGCGAGCAGTTCAATTTATTTGTGTGTATTTGGAATCACGTTGAACATTATGGTATGCACAGTGCCCATCACACATTAACATTTAGCATTCAGACGACTAAGTAGGCTCGGCTGCTCGCAAATAATAACTCATACATACATGTGGACGGGCATGGGTTGCTGTGGTTCAGTAGGGGCCACAGGAAGAGAGTGGAGGAGATGGCAGCAGTTAGGGGAGTCCCCGCGGCCGCGGCGACCGTCGCGAGGTTTGACAGATCCTGCTGGTGGAGGCCCATGGGGAGCAGCATGTGTCCGCCGGCCGGCTGGGAGCCCGAGGGACCCACCGTCGCTAAGACATCTGGTTCCAGTGGCTCTGATGTGTGAGTGAGTGTGAGTGTAAAGTGTGTGTGTGTGAGAGAGAGAGTTGGGCATTTGCATGTGCGTGTGTATGTGTGTGGTTTTGTATTGAGTGAAGAGAGAAGGAAGACAGACACGGTGAGTATAAATGCACAGGATTTACGTTTCTCTGCCCTGATACATTGCTTATGGTGTACGGGTATTCATTCAAATTATACAAAAGTACACAAGTAGCAGACTGGCATGATTTTTTTGAATACATTATGCAAAACTCGGTTGCACCTGAGCTAATACACCTTTCATATGGGTAACTCATGTGGCGTTGGTTTGCTCAAATGGAAATAAGAAAAACATCTTGTACTTCTTCCCCAAATTTTGATCTCATACGTCAACTACTTAACAACTAAGATAGTCTGAATTCATATCAACTACTTTACAAGATATTGATCTTCTACATCGACTTATTAACAAGACATTCCATCTTGGCTGGCCCAAAAGCCTTTCAGAGTGCACATTAAACCGACCATTACCCCGCATTCACCACCCTGTACTGTACTGGCATGTACATGTGCCCACACCGCAAAGTGCTGTTCACAAGAGGACCGTAAGTGGGTCCCTCAATGGACGGAGGGTTGGACCAGCAAGAGGGGCTCATTCTCTGTAAGCCCGCCCTCCAAGACCACCTCTATCTCTACCACAATGGGCACCCAGCAACGCTTCAATACGCGGACTCCAGACAAAGTCAATACAGTACAAATACATCGACGTATGTATGTATGTGTATATAAGTGTGTATAAACACAGAATGTGTACATACAGTGGATAAGTACACGAGTACACGGTGCAGGCATGCGTCTGAACACCAATGGGTGCACTTATGCCATCAATTACAACACGACCTGGGCAATTTGTATGGGGGATTGACCTGTAAGCAGAGGACGTCAAGTGGGCCATTCACCGACCGCCTTTGAACACTTTTCATAGCCTCGTTAGCACAGAAATAGCCATGAAAAAGGTGTAATGGCCCACTATGGCAATGAGCCACGGACACTGGCACACAGGTACACCGTACAAATCCCCGGATTCTCCTTTTGGGCCGCTGTATGCACAGTCCCTATAGAGACGTGTAGTACACATGTACACACAACCCATTGAGAGCATAACTCGTGAACCTACTGTATATGCATCCACGTGTGGGATGTATAATGCAATATGGAGAAAAGGGAACCGTTTGATGTGTGTACAGCTAATGTAAAACGGCAAGCTCTATTCAAACTAATCGAATGCCGGGCCTTATATGGGCACAAGAATGCCTGTTCAATACCACAGCCTTTTCGCGGTAGACGCTGGTAGACATATACATAGGCTTATCCCCTGCCTTTCAACAATGAAAGGAAGAAGGGGGCATTCACCATTTATGTTGTGTGTGGTCGGAATTTATTTGACTTACAATCTCGCTGATCCTATGCCATCCACCTAGCTACTCAGATGCTCCTCTTTCAATTGCTCCACCTTTATGTACTTATCCTCATGGAGACGCCCACCAACAGAAAATCATTTGTTCATGCACTCAGTAGCACCCAGCCCATGTATGTACATACGTATGCATAGTAGCTCAGTGGTAGATACATACGTATGCATAGTAGCTCAGTGCTAGATACGTATATGTTGCAGGAAAGCATGAGCCCTGTAAGGGCGAATGCTGTCCTGTCTGGGTACTGCAACAGATTTGTTGGATATCCCTAGACAAATGACATGTATGAACCCTGCTTGCACATGAAGGATTGTATAGGCTGATAAAATCCCCCAGTATATACCCAGCTTCATACATGTAGGTTGCCTAGGGATATCCAACAAGTATGCATAGTAGCTCAGTGGTAGATACATACGTATGCATAGTAGCTCAGTGGTAGAGCACTCGTCTAGAAAACAGAGTGTCGTGGGTTTGAGTCCCACCTACATCAGCTCTTGTTTCAGAAATACAACAGAGGAAAGCGGTGGTCTTAGATTCATGAGGGGAAATATGGCCCGGTATCCAACACGTATATAAAATGTGCACTGATTGCTAGGATACACACATCCATTGTTTCTTGCTCTGTAAACTTGATAATGGAAGGCCTTATTGCCCTCGGGATGATTTGAGAGTGAGTGACACAAAAAGAAATTAGGAAATTGTGTATATAGTGGATTGTCATGATTATGGAAGCCCCCTCTGACCCCAGGGGGTGACACATCTTTCTAAACACTCTGGTCAGGTTACTTTTACTGTTGACCAGAGTATTCAGAAAAAGTTAAAGGGAATGCGGCAGCCCAGGGGGCAGTATATGTGTATAAGAGCTACACTGTAACTACAAACTGAAACCCATTCTTCCACCGGCCCCTACTGCCTTTAGTAGCATCTATAAAAATCTAGCCCTTCTGTAGTACTATATACCATGTTCCCTTTAAGCAACATGCTTCATACATACATACATACCTTCTTTGATACTGAGTTCCTCGTGAGGCAGCCTAGATCCCTGGATTCTCCTGCAAAGATGACAATAACTTGAATAATACAGGTGGAGGTAAACAGGCAGTAACTACACATATATGTAGTACATAGGTGAGGACAGAGAATTTGGGTGAGAGGGAGGGAGGGAAGGAAGGGAGGGAGGGAGGGAGGAAGGGAAGGGATGGAGGGAGGGAGGGAGGGAAGGGAGGGAGGGAGGGAGGGAGGGAAGGGAGGGAGGGAGGGAAGGGAGGGAGGGAGGGAGGAAGGGAAGGGAGGGAGGGAGGGAGGAAGGGAAGGGAGGGAGGGAGGGAGGAAGGGAAGGGAGGGAGGGAGGGAGGGAGGGAGGGAGGGAGTCTACAACCCAAAAACCAGGTAAGGTAGGGGTATAAAACTTTGCACACAGGCTGAAATCTGTGACATGGCATGCAGTGTCTAATCTGTGAAGCACCAAAGTCTGTAGGTTGTTGATGTGGATAATGACGTATGTAAATGAAGAATGTGACATGAGATGCCAGAACAATGAGCTAGGGAAGCAGAAGAACAATGGTCAGTTGTCTTGAAATGCAGAGAAACACATTGCCAGGTATCCAGTCCTAGTCGCCACTGAATCAAGCTGAACAATGACCAGGAACCCATCGCCAATGAATTCATAATTAAAAGAACCATAATAGTGACAGCCAATATAATTGACAGTAGTATAGTATCGATAGCCCCTGGCACTCCGCCATGCGGCACTTTGCATACGTTTGTTTAGCTTTGACATAACTGGTGTACATAGCACACCCGTTGCCTAGGACACCAGATAAGGAAGCACATGGTCCAGTGCACACACGATTGTGTGGTACAATAGATGTGGGTTAATGTGTGTTGGAGAATAAGGTGGGGGAAGGGAAGGGAGAGGGAGGGAGAGAGAGAAGAGCAGAGAAGAGGAGAAGAGAGGGGAGGAGAGAGATAGAGAGGGGGGAGAGAGAAAGAGGAGTGGAGAGGAGGGGAGGGGAAAGGAGGGAGAGGGAGGAAGAGGGAGGGAGAGGGGAGAGAGAGAAAGAGGAATGGAGAGGAGGGGAGGGGAAAGGAGGGAGAGGGAGGATTAAGAGGAAGGGAGAGGAGGGGAGGGGAAAGGAGGAAGAGGAGTGGAGAGGAGGGGAGGGAAAAGGAGGAAGAGAGAGAAAGAGGAGTGGAGAGGAGGGGAGGGGAAAGGAGGGAGAGGGAGGAAGAAGAAGGGAGAGGGGGTGTAAACGGACAAAGTAGAGCACACATCACAAGGATAGAGAGCAGTGTTAGGAATATCAAACTCACCTCCTCCGACCTCTCTTTGGTGAGGAGAGCTCCAAGGAGTGCTGGTAGTATTTCTGCACATACATAGTATATAGAGAGAGTCATTGCAAACATGCACACCCCGAAAAAAACAATCCCAGAATCTACTAGCTACGGTTACCGCACATAGTGGGAATCTTTTGAGGGAGAAAGATTTCGTGTTTCAGTGGCAAATATGCCATTTGTGGATTGATGTGTACATACAGCCCACAGAATTAAAGAAACAAAATTTGCCCTAAACTGAAAAATTTGTGGAAATTGTTAAATGTTTTTCTGCCCGCTTTAGATAATACAAGTGCTTTAGATAACAGTAAGTGTGGCACCAGCACCACTGTAAGCAAAGGAACCAGGGGGGGGACGAAGAGGTGCAGAGGTGTACACACTGTCTGAGAGACCCAGGCTACGAACCAGGGGGGGGACGAAGAGGTGCAGAGGTGTACACACTGTCTGAGAGACCCAGGCTACGAACCAGGGGGGGGACGAAGAGGTGCAGAGGTGCACACACTGTCTGAGAGACCCAGGCTACGAACCAGGGGGGGGACGAAGAGGTGCAGAGGTGCACACACTGTCTGAGAGACCCAGGCTACGAACCAGGGGGGGGACGAAGAGGTGCAGAGGTGCACACACTGTCTGAGAGACCCAGGCTATATAGTGGATGACTGACTCTCTTAACTAGAAATGATAGAATGCTGTCCTTGCAACCGTCCATTCTGACCTTCCAGAAGTCCGAAATACTATTTTTTTGTGCTCATGTGATTTGTACGCGCCTGCTTTCACACTCCATATGCCTCGCGATGCACGTGCCACCCAAAGTCAAAGTGCTAGCTGAAGGCACACTTTGTTGGATATGGCAGCAAGCCTATAATAGCACAAGGTGTACATATGTACCAGAAGTGGTTTTAGTACTTAAGAGATCATGCTTACGGCCCACGCAATAAACTGCCACATGCTTACGGCCCACGGCCCACCGCAATAAACTGCCACATGCTTACGGCCCACGGCCCACCGCAGTGGGTAATGACAGAGTGCCTCCCATTAGCAACCCATCCCAGGGTGGGCTAAAACAAACAGTTGACAATGAAGGTATGACAGGGGCAGTTTTACAGATAAGGAAAATATTTTCTACTCTACACTTTAGTAAAATGTGCACCAATTCAATCCAAGATAGTGAGCTAGGAAGCTTAGTGGGCAGACGAAAGCAAAATGGAGTATGCAGTACGAGATTGGGGATGTGAAAATTAGGACACCCCATGGCACCATTGTGTTCTTCAAAACAAGCGGTGGTGGTCCCTAGGTATATACCAGTCACAGCCACAGTGTGAGTGTGAGTATATATATACAGCCACAGTGTGAGTGAGTGAGTGAGGGCAGGTGAGTGGTGGGCCCTCACCTCAACAAGTGGTCACACTCACACATGCTGGGCCTCTCCACTACCACCACCACAATGCCTTGAAGCACATGGCATCACAGGACCCCAAAGGGGTGGCTAAAATAACACAAATATCCATCCAATCACTGGTCCTGATTACCGATAAGAATAGAGACGCGCAGCCGCCGCAGCTGCCCGCCTTGAGGCAAGCATACCAAGACTAGGATCTTGCACAGAGGCAGGTATGTCGACTTATAATTGGTTGTCATGCCTTCCGCTTCACTACACCCTCACAATACTTTCATCAGTGAGGTAGTGCAAGTGCAAAGAAAACAGTTGAACAACACTCCATGGCAAAGACCCCTGTGATAGTTATTCCAACTACATCCCCATATAGTGAGGGTATTATACAATACCAAAGCAAAACGCCCCAGGGCAACACAACAGCCCCTGCACAGTCTAACAGCGGCAGTTGGCTAACAGCGCTGTTGATGGACATTGTACACTATGCATCACTTAGGCTGGGTTCACAATTAATTATGTTGCATTGCTCCATCACGCCATGCAGCTTCAGGTTGTGCAGTGAAGATAGAAATGGATTCTATCCTCGTGACGCGGAGGCGCAACGGTACAATGCGGCATAACCTAGCCGCTTGTCCATTTTTAACTGTTAATTCACAAATCGTGATGCCTTAATCTTTAGATCTGCCTTTTTTAACGTGCTGACGACAAACAAACTGATCGCATAACCCCCTGTGCATGAGTGCGAGATGTTACACATAAATCATGTGCATACACAAAAGGTGGTTTAAGTACCTGTTCAGCAGGGTTCATGTTGTGTTTTCTGAGGTACAGCGTCTTGAATTGGCTCAGTTTTATCCCTTTGTATCGGATCTGTATATGGTAACAATTTATTACCAACACAATAAGCATTTACCAAATGTGTGAATCGGATAATTTGACTACAACAGGCACACGCTCTCAAACTGCCGTGTGAAAGTGAGGCAAATAAGGCTAACATCGTTTTCACCATAGCAGAGCAGTTGGCTAAAAGGCGCGAGGTGTAGCTGCATGGCAAAGACCAGTGAGGTGTAGCTGCATGGCAAAGACCAGTGACCCAGGTGTCTACTGTGACTGTATATACTTCAGTTGGTGTGACATTGAAACTTGTTATGAAGTGGACTCGTACATTAATATACATGGTCCTGCCCCCCCCCCATTGCCAAACTCGAATATACTATACAGCTATAGTGACTACACTTGGAAGGATGGTAAAGTTGAACAACAAAGGGGGCACTTCAAGCAGCTAAGTATCACATGCCGTATTGGGGGCAACTTATGAAAAAACCTTTCTCAGCTATATTATTTTGTGGTAGGTGAGGACATTATAATTATGCCTATCCCTATATACTAAGTACTACTACCGTACTTAGTGATATTGCATGACTGCGATCGTGTGGAAGTGAAATTTTGAGTGAAACGTTTACATTTTCTTCATTATACAGTATGCAATGCATGAAGGGGGGTCATAAAACTGATCTATCACTGCTCCTGCGCATGTTTCACTCAACTACACGTACACCATTGTCTTGCTACCTGTTTAAACAAGTCACTCTTCAAAGAAGGCTACGGTAAGGTAGTCAAAATGAAAATATTCCGAATACTTCCAACAAAAGAACTTTTCTTCTTCATGACTTTTAACATTCCCCTACCATCAAAGGCACCTAAATATTAAACCCCTTGGATGCCATTGGTATATATCCCCTTAAATAAGCAGAAATTGATGTATAACATATTAACGCCTAGTATTATAAGCCCCATATAAATTCTTATGGATTTACGGAGGCTCTGGACATACATATTATAATATGTCCGTGGTTTGTTAACTGTTGACACGTTAACCCGGGGGATTGGCCTTTAACCCTTTTCCCATGTCCACAGGTGAGGTATAAATACCTTTAACCCGTTTCCCTCTGTTGACAAGGAATTTGGTATCAGTGTGTGTGATATTTTCCCTTGTTGACGGGGGATCGGAATGTCAGTATTACGTGTATTTAACCCTTTCCCGGTGTCTATGATGAGTTCCTTTGCTCTGCATATGCTACCATAGATGAAAACACACGTAATTATTCGAGCTGGTTAATAGACCCACGTGTCTTCAAACACAAAACCACTGTTTTGATATACTGGGATAGGGTTTATTTACTACCCACAATGTGAATGGACTGTATAATTACAGAGGAACCTCCGAGATAGGGATAGGGACAGCCTCTCTACAAAGGACACTTGTTTCAAACAAATGCTAACATTATTTGACCTCCGAGATAGGGACAACCTCTCTACAAAGGACACTTGTTTCAAACAAATGCTTTTCATTATTTGACCTCCGAGATAGGGACAACCTCTCTACAAAGGACACTTGTTTCAAACAAATGCTAACATTATTGACCTCCGAGATAGGGGATCAACCTCTCTACACAAGGACACTTGTTTCGAACAAATGCTACATTATTTGACCTCCGAGATAGGGACAACCTCTCTACAAAGGACACTTGTTTCAAACAAATGCTAACATTATTTGACCTCCGAGATAGGGACAACCTCTCTACAAAGGACACTTGTTTCAAACAAATGCTTTTCATTATTGACCTCCGAGATAGGGACAACCTCTCTACAAAGGACACTTGTTTCAAACAAATGCTAACATTATTTGACCTCCGAGATAGGGATAACCTCTCTACAAAGGACACTTGTTTCAAACAAATGCTAACATTATTTGACCTCCGAGATAGGGACAACCTCTCTACAAAGGACACTTGTTTCAAACAAATGCTAACATTATTTGACCTCCGAGATAGGGACAACCTCTCTACAAAGGACACTTGTTTCAAACAAATGCTAACATTATTTACCTCCGAGATAGGGACAACCTCTCTACAAAGGACACTTGTTTCAAACAAATGCTAACATTATTTGACCTCCGAGATAGGGATAACCTCTCTACAAAGGACACTTGTTTGAAACAAATGCTTTTCATTATTTAACCTCCGAGATAGGGACAACCTCTCTACAAAGGACACTTGTTTCAAACAAATGCTAACATTATT